ACCTAACAGTCATAGGATCCAAACCACATTTTTCCAATTTGTCAATAAGAATATTATATGGAACCTTATCAAAATATAACTATACAAATTTAACTGGAGTGAAAATTCTGCCTGAGAGAAAGTATCACTTGTGTGGAAAGGATTTAATGATTAATCTGAAGGTTTGAGAGCTAAAGCAAAGAAGTAAATCAGGTAGGGGTTTTGGGGAACTGGTTAGACATGAGGACTGGTGTGGCACCACGTTTTATGAAGCCTGTGAACTCATGCCTGTGAACCCATCACCACCATGTTTTCTGCAGAAAACCAGTCCCCTAAACATCTGTATATTTCTTAAATCCTCATTTAACAGTCAGGGAATTCTGAAGGAATCCTCTGTGGAGTTTTGCATCTGAGATACCTCATGCAAGGCATAGGTTGTTTGACAAGACTTAATGATTCATCAAAAACCTTTGGGGGAAGGTGACCTGACGTTCAGAAATAGGACACTGGTTGATGGAACTGGTATTAACTCTTCCACATGGAATGTGTGTGTTTCCCCATAATGTTGAATGTTTATACGGAGCTCATGCCAAGTTCCATATGTAAGACACACAACAAGAACTTGGTAAAATGCCGGAGTGGTGGTATAACCACTTATCTATGATGTGGATTTGGGGGACAGGATCACCAGGTTAATGAGGCCATATGGGAGGCGGACCCAATTTCCTGAGTGATTCTGAAGAGTGCTGATGTAAAATCTTTGCTCCAGTTAAGGACAAATCATTTGTTGTTATATTGCTCTTGAAACTGGTGAGATTATTGTAATCTGGTATTATAGAGTTAGCAGTGAGGTAAGAAAACTCAACTTTGAGGTAAAATGTGTTAGAATGTATTGAAATTTCTGTTTGGGGGACTAGTTCTTTTTGGATAAGGGAACTAGGGTTGAACATACCTTGTGGAATTTATTTGGGGGGTTGGGGGTAGAATTTATCCTCTTGGGTTGAGAGGAACTAGTGCAGAATTTATTGTTTGGGGAAAATTTATCCTCCTGGGTTGAGAGGAACAGTAGAGAATTTAACTTTTAGATTTTTCTTGGTTTTGGGCGAATGTATCCTCTAGGGTTGAGGAATCTGTAATAAGTTGAAGTGCAGAAATTAACTTTGTTACCTTTTCATTGTTGCTTAGCTGAAAATAAAGTAGTTAAACAACATTTGGATTGTGTCTGGTGCCTTTCACATGGGATATCGCTTCTTTTACACTGAGGATAAAATATCCCTTGTAATTCAGAGATCTTCTTCGTGGTCTCTGTGCATCACACCTCTGGGATATAGTGCACCTGCGCCAACCCCGACCGATAGATATTGAAAGCAAAAGGATTTTCACGCCTGTTCCCCCGTCACGTGCAGGGCTCCAGTGCGCATGACCAGGGGAGGAACACGACAATCCCACCAGTTTCTTTCTGACCGCCACGCTGTTCAGACCTCTCCGCTTCGGTCAGTAGTTATTTTTGTCTTTCCTTGCCTACTTGGCCCCCTTTCTTCTTCTTTAATCTTCAGTTCGGATTCCTACAAAAGAAAATTTCATTGGGACTGTTGTTGCTCAAGGAAGTACTCTGCTCCGGCAGATTTCCCTTACTCCTGGCCTATGGCCAAACAGTAGGGCTTCTTTAAGTGGTGTTTACGGTGTAGCAGCAAGACACACACACACCCCCGACGGACACTCTCTTTGTCTCTTGTGCCCCAGGGAAGCCCGCCGAGTGGTCTCGTGTACCCACTGCTCGAAGTTCTTGAGGCAGACGTGGAAGAATAGGGCTGCTAGATTACGCACCACTCTGTTGGAATTAGCACTTTCACCGATGGTGTCGTCTCAGGAGACATCTGGGCATGCTTCGATGTCGACGGCCTCCTCGGGATCGACGGTCGCAGTGTCCCCAGCACCAGCTGATGTTGATCGACCGATGCTCAAATGCTTGGTGCAGACTCCTCAGTCCGAAGCCCATACTCCTGCTAAGAAACACCGGGAGGGCAAGGACACTAGGCCTGTCAAGCAGAAGAAACATAAGAAGGGCTCCCCTAATAAAGTCCCGTCGACTCTGTGTCGACAGTCAGAGTCGATCCCCGTGTCTGGGGCCACCTTGCTTAACTCATCGGGCCACGGCCAGCTACAAGGTGCTCCATCCTCACCTTTGCTGCACCCGATTCAACTTTGTGATCATCCCACAGTCGACCATGTTACTGGAAGAAATTCAGAACCTCATACTCAAAGAAGCCATAGAACCAGTTCCTCTTGCACACCAATGCCATGGCTTCTATTCCCATTATTTTACAGTTCCCAAGAAGGACGGAGACCTCCGCCCTGTCATGGACCTCAGGAACCTCAATCGCTTCATAGCTTACAAGAAGTTCAGAATGACAACCCTGCAGTCTATCCTTCCTCTCCTCGAGCCAGGGGTATGGATGGCGACCTTGGACTTACAAGATGCCTACTTTCACGTGACAATCCATCGTGCCTACAGGAGGTTCCTACACTTTGCTGTGGGGGACCACCATTATCAGTACAAGGCCCTCTCCTTTGGGTTGTCTACAGCCCCCTGAGTATTTACAAAAATGATGGTGGTCGTGGTCGCTCACCTTCATCTTCAGGGGATACGTATCATTCTGTACATCGACGACTAGCTGCTGGTAGCAAACGCAAAAGAAATCCTACTCCAGCATATAGATTCTACCCTAGAGTCCCTGAAAGAATTGGGCCTCTGCGTGAATCACAAAAAGTCGATGCTTCGCCCTTCCCTGAAGGATTTATCGGGGCAATACTGGACTCCAGTGTTTGCAGGGCCTTTCTTCCCCCCAACAGGGTGGAACATATCATCACTCTCATTCAGCTCTTTCATCACCAGGGCGATGCCTCAGCAAGACAGATCCAGTGCCTTCTGGAAATGATGGCTGCCACAACATCAGTAATCATGTTCACCAAGCTGAACATGCGGCCACTCCAATTGTGGTTCCTGAAGTGATTTTGACCCCAGCGGCAACCTCAGTCGCAGCACTTTATCCTCCCTCCCCAGATGTGGACCTCCCTACAGTGGTGGGAGAACCTGCAAAACTTACTAGCAGGAGCGCCTTTCCACTGTCCGTCTCCGTCGATGACGATCACGACGGATGCATCTCTCTGAGCATGGAGTGCACACCTGAATGGCATGTGTGTAGGGGCCAGATGGGAGACTGCGGTGGTCCACAAGCACATAAATCTACTAGAGCGGGAATGGATCCCCTCTCCCTAGGGGACGGTCTCCTATACCCTTGGTCACATCAATTCCTGTACTTGTTCCCACTGATTCCGCTACTCACCAGAGTGCTCCACAAGGTGATGGAGGAAGCTCCCCGGTGCATCCTCGAGGCTCCCTGGTGGCCTCGACAGCACTGGTTTCCCATTCTGCTCCACATGTCAAAGGGCTCCTTCATTCACCTCCCAGCAGTGCCGGATCTTCTCCTTGCTCAGGAGAGCCTGGTGCTGTACTACGATGTGCCACATCTCAGACTGACAGCGTGGAGGATCCTGTCAATGTTCTCCGACACAAGGTCAATCACGTGCTGTTGAATTGTCGTAAACCCTCCACTCGTAGTTCCTATGATGGAAAGTGGAGAAAGTTTTTGTCCTACCTTCAGGAGGTCGGTTTGCCCCCTCTGCCTTCGAATCTCATTGCTGTTTTTGGTTTTCTGTTGTCTTGTTTGGACCAAGGCCTCAGCTATTCCTCAGTGCGGGTGTACCTGGCAGCTATTTCTGCTCATCATCCTCCAGTTGAGGGTTATTCCGTTTTTACTCACCTGCTTACCAAGCGTTTCCTTCAGGGTCTGGTTCATCTTTTTCCTCCATCACGGTTCCCCACACTGGCTTGGGACTTACCTTTCAGGGAAACCTTTTGAGTCTGTGGCCACATGCAGTTTGCAACTTCTCTCGTGGAAGATGGCCTTCCTCGTGGCTGTCACGTCGGCACTTCATTGTGTTCCACCTTACCTGGTTTTTCATCATGAAGGGGTCACCCCAGACGTTTCCGTCCTTCCTAAGATTGTATTGGAATTCCATCTGCAAGCTGACATCGTTCTTCCCGTGTTTTTTCCTGCTCCAAAGGACGATGTGGAGTGTCGCCTCCACACGCTTGATGTCTAGCGGGCTCTACTCTTTCACCTGGATAGGATAAAGGGTTTTCGAAAGTCCCCTTCCCTTTTCGTCTCCTACGCTCTCCCCTCGCTCGGGAGTCAGTTGTCATCGCAGCAGCTTTCCAGGTGGATCATGGAGACAATTAAACTTTGTTATTTGCTGGCCAAGAAACCGCTTCCAGGACCGCTCCAGGCACATTCCACACGAGCAGTGGCCACGTCCACGGCCTTCCTGAAGGGTACGTCACTACATGACATCTGCAACGTGGTGACTTGGGCCACCCCTCACACGTTCGTGAGACACTATACCCTGGATGTACGTCTTCATCAGCATTCTGTGGTGGGGCGATCTGTGTTGCAGTCGGTGTGCATTTGAGGACCTCCAGCTGCCTCCTCCAGGTAGGTGTGTTGTTTTTCTTTCTGCTTGCTACTCTCCCAGAGGTGTGATGCACAGAGACCACGAAGAAGATAAACAGGTTGCTTACCTGTAACTGATTATCTTCGAGTGGTCATCTGTGCATTCACACCACTCGCCCTCCTTCCCCTCTGCTTTAGGTCCTCTCCTTTTTATTACTCTGAGACTGATGGCAGCGGTCAGAAGGAACTGGTGGGATTGTTGTGCCCCTCCCCTGGTCATGTGCACGGGAGCCCTGCTTCGTGACAGGGGAACGGGTGTGAAAATCCTTTTGCTTTCAATATCTACCGGTTGGGGTCGGCGCAGGCGCACTATATCCTCCCAGAGGTGTGGATGCACAGATGACCCCTCCAAGATCGTCAGTTACAGGTAAGCAACCTGTTTTTATCTGTAACCCTACAGATTAGCATATCTGTATTTTCATTCACTTTGCTTTCCCTTTCTTCAAGGTATACTACTGTCGTTCCTTAGCGCTAGCTTTCATTGAACACACCGTTTTGCAAAGATACCATGACTATGTCCATGGTGCTAACACGCCAGCTACTCTCCAGCCAGTACTGAAGCGTCTGTGTTCACTGTATGGGCTCTGGTCTTTAAGTAAGCACATGGCTGTGCTTTACCAAGGTGAGGTGAACATCCTGCCTGTATACCAAATTTAATTTTTGAAAGTCATGAAGCTGTTCTTCTGTTTTTCTTGGGCATTGTATTATATCTGCCTGAAGTATGAATGGGTATCTCCTCTGGGAAGCAGAGTGATCGGGGGGGAGGGGGTTGGGACCACTAAATGGGGGAAGGGGTGCATTGTGCAACTGGCAGAGTTGGCAGAGTTATGGTGAGTGCTGCTGGCTATAGTTTCGGACTCGACTGTGTGACTGAACGACAACAACAAAAGGGTTAAAAAAACCTTTCCCTCCTGACCCACCTCCTTTGCCTGGGACAGCTAGTCCAGCGCTGGACTGCCACCAACAAGAGATCTCCCCCTTCCAGTGTAAATGTGTGTGCTTTCGTGAGGGGGAGCTGCTGGAGGCTCTGGGGGCTCCTGTTCCCCACCTTCCCTCGGTCCCCCCCCCCCCGTCAGTACTGATGGAGCTGACCAGCGTAAACAGAGCCTCTTGGCTAAACATGGATAGGATTTCTAAGTCAGTTCACACTCAAAGATGATGAGTAAAAGACATCTTTAATAGCCAAACATAAATCCTAGAGAGCACAGCCGACTGGAAACAGTCAGTTGAAAGACAGCTGTAGGCGGATGAAAGGCACGTGGGAAAGTGTCTCTGCTCACTGGCCCTGTGCTGACAAAGAGGACCAGCCCCCGTGGCACACCCCACCCCTCCCAACCAGGCGACTCCCCTGCAGCCCAGCAGCCCCCTTTTAACCCCACTGGGCATTAGGGGAGTAGGCCCAACACTGCCGCTGAGCCTGCTCTTCCAGAGTCTGGATACCTTGAGGAGGTTAAGGAGCCAAGGGGGGAAGCCAGAAATGATCCATCGCAGCCTTTAACAGCTTGGCTAAACAGGCAAACTTTTAATTTCATAGCTACTGTCACAGTCTGCGGTGATCTGGGATCCCAGGAACGTGAAGTCTGTCACTACTTCCACGACTTCCCCTTCTTTTTGCCAAGGAGTGATGGGGCCGGATGCCATGATCTTAGTTTTTTTGATGTTGAGCTTCAAGCCCACTTTTGCGCTCTCCTCTTTCACTCTGAGCAAGAGGCTCTTGAGGTCCTCTTCACTTTCTGTCATTAGAGCGGTATCGTCTGCATATCTGAGGTTGTTGATCTTTTCCCCAGCAATCTTAATTCCCTCTTGTGATTCATCCAGGTCAGCATTTCGCATGATGTACTCTGCATATATATTAAATAAGCAAGGTGACAATATACATCCTTGTCGTACTCCTTTTCAGTTGTTCCATATCCGGTTCTAACTGTCGCTTCTTGACCCTTATACAGGTTTCTCAAGAGACATGTGAGGTGGTCTGGTACTCCCATCTCTTTAAGGACCTGCCATGGTTTGTTGTGATCCACACAGTCAAAGGCTTTAGCATAGTCAATGAAGCAGAAGTAGATATTTTTCTGGTACTCTCTTGCTTTCTCCATAATCCAGCGAATGTTGGCAATATGATCTCTCGTTCCTCTACCTCTTCGAAACCCAGCTTGTACTTCTGGCAGTTCTCTATCCACGAACTGTTGAAGCCTAGCTTGTAGGATCTTGAGCATGACCTTGCTAGCATGTGATATGAGTGCAATTGTGCGATAGTTTGAACATTCCTTGGCATTGCCCTTCTTTGGGATTGGAATGTATACTGACCTTTTCCAATCCTGTGGCCACTGTTGCGTTTTCCAAATTTGCTGGCAAATGGAGTGCAGAACTTTAACAGCATCATCTTCTAAGACTTTGAATAGCTCAGCTGGAATACCATCACCTCCACTAGCTTTGTTGTTAGTAATGCTTTCTAAGGCCCATTTAACTTCACATTCCAGGATGTCTGGCTCAAGGTCAGTGATTATACCGTCGTGTTTGTCAAGGACATTGAGGTCTTTCTTGTATAGTTCTTCTGTGTATTCTTGCCATCTTTTCCTAATCTCTTCTGCTTCTGTTAGGTCCCTACCGTTTTTGTCCTTTATCATGGCCAGCTTTGCATGGAACGCTCCCTTGATTTCTCCAATTTTCTTGAAGAGATCTCTAGTCCTTCCCATTCTATTGTTTTCTTCTATTACTTTGCACTGTTCATTCAGGAAGGCCTCCTTATCTCTCCTTGCTGTTCTCTGGAAATCTGCGTTCAGTTGGGTAAATCTTTCCTTTTCGCCTTTGCCTTTCGCTTTCCTTCTTTCCTCTGCTATTTGTAAAGCCTCATCAGAAAGCCATTTTGCTTTCTTGCATTTCTTTTTCTTTGGTATGGTGGTGATTGCTGCCTCCTGTACGATGTCACGAACCTCTGTCCATAGTTCTTCAGGCACTCTATCTATCAAATCCAGACCCTTGAATCTATTCTTCACCTCTACTGTATATTCATCAGGGATGCGATCTAGGTCAAACCTGAATGGCCTCGTGGTTTTCCCGATTTTCTTCAGTTTAAGTCTGAATTTTGCAATGAGTAGCTCATGATCTGAACCACAGTCAGCTCCAGGTCTTGTTTTTACTGACTGGATAGAGCTTCTCCATCTTTGACTGCAAATTATATAGTCAATCTGATTTCGGTGTTGCCCATCTGGTGATGTCCATGTGTAGAGTCGCCTCTTAGGTTGTTGGAAAAGGGTGTTCGCTATGACCAGTGTGTCCTCTTGACAAAAGTCTGTTAACCTTTGTCCTGCTTCATTTTGCTTTCCAGGGCCAAACTTGTCTATTATTCCGGTTACCTTTTGACTTCCTACTTTAGCATTCCAGTCCCCTATGATGATGAGGACATCATTTTTTGGTGTTAGTTCTAGGAGGTGTTGTAGGTCTTCATAGAACCGGTCCACTTCAGCCTCTTCTGCATCCGTGGTTGGGGCATAGACTTTGATTACTGTGATGTTGAATGGTTTGCCTTGGAATCGGACCGAAATCATTCTGTCATTTTTGAGATTGTATCCCAGTACTGACTTTTACACTCTCTTGTTGACTATGAAGGCCACACCATTTCTTCTACGAGATTCCTGGCCACAGTAGTAGATATAATGGTCTTCTGAGTTAAATTCGCCCATTCCCGTCCACTTTAGTTCACTGATTCCTAAGATGTCGATGTTCAGTCTTGCCATCTCATTTTTGACCACGTCAAGCTTACCTTGATTCATAGATCTTACATTCCAGGTTCCTATGCAGTATTGTTCTTTGCAGCATCGGACTTTCCTTTCACCATCAGACACATCCACAACTGAGCGTCCTTTCGGCTTTGACCCAGCCGCTTCACTCTTTCTGGGGTTACTTGTACTTGCCCTCTGCTCTTCCCCACCCAAGCCCCCTCGCCACGACAAGGCAGTGATCCATGAGGGGAAAATTTAATTTAGGTTTGCTTATATTCCAGTTTTCCCAGAATTTTTGTATTTTAATGAAAAAATATTTTTCCCCAAAGTCTTCAAAATTTTCAGTAACGTCCATCTCTGTTTTGGATTTGGAGTGTCATATGCTGTTCGTACACAACCCTGCTTCTCCTTTTCAGCAGACAGTGGAAGGTTTAACAGGAAGTGGTGAAGAGCTGGCTGAGGGCCAGTAAACTGAAGCTCAGTCCAGTGAGGAATGAGGGGCTTTTCAGTGATAACCAGGGAGTGAGGAATCGGCTCGCTCTAGATGGGGGGGGGCCTGCACTCCTCCCAGTGGAGGGTGTTCGTGACCCAAGGTGGAGGAGTCCTTTTACGTCTGTGTGTGCAGAGGGCTGCTTAGGTCTCATCTGTAGTGTGGAGCATTTTAAACCCACTGTAACTGATGCACTAGTTGTGGCCTTTCCTTAAAAATATGATCTGGCCACAGTTATCCATCCTCTGATCACCATCAGGTTATAATTATTATTATTTATTGATTTGATTTATTAATCACCCCATCCTAGTTCATGCCAGGCTCTGGGTGATGTACAACAGAGGCACAAAGCCATGAAATGAATATACAAAACATTAGAAATTCAGAATAACGAGAGTAGAATAACAAATTTTTAAAAACCAAAGTTAACTATATAACTACAGTGCCTTAGAAGACTCCTTGGAAACTTCACTGGGTTCAAAACGCAGCCATGTCATTGCTGGCCGGTACAAACTACAGGGAACTTTCCCTGCCAATCCTTTGACAGTCATCCTGGGTGCCAGTTTGTCTGTGGGCCTTCTTCAGAGAGGCTGGGGCTTTCCCCCCTCCCAGCCCCTCCTGGGTGGCCGTGGGGTCCCAAAGGCCTGCTGCTCCCTCAGGGACCTTCCTGGTTATGCAGGCCTTCAGAGAGAGGCCTTCAGCTGTGGGCCCTCACGGCTGCCAGGGCTTTTCCCGTTCAGTTTCCTGTTCTCTGTCTGTCTGCAGAGCTTCCTCGTCACATAATTGTACCTGTGCCTTCACTTCTGAGCCTCATGTGCCAGGGAAAGTGTTTTTGTTCTCCCAGGCGTTTGGCATGAGCTGAGCTACAGGGATGGGCTGCGGTGGCTCAGTGGTTAAGACGCTGAACTACCGACCGGAAGGTCGGCAGTTCAGCAGTTTGAGACCCGAGTACCGCATGACGGAGTGAGCTCCCGTCTCTGGCCCTGGCTCCAGCCAGCCTAGCTGTTCGAAAGCAAGAAACTGCAAGTAGATAAATACGTACTGCTTCGGTGGGAAGGTAACAGCGTTCCGTGCACCTCAGCATTTAGTCATGCCGGCCACATGACCACAGAAACTTCTTCGGACAGCGCTGGCTCTTCGGCTTGGAAACGGAGATGAGCACCGCACCCTTAAGTCGGATTCAACTGGCTTTTGAGCAAGGGAAACCTTTCCCTTTTGAAGCTACAGGGGGGTTCTTCCCCACTCACTGTTCTGTTTGTCCTATTTGTTTTACTTGCTTTGCCATGCCTTCACTTCTGTTGTGTCATGTTATGAGTTGTTTCTGTCAGACTCTGTGGTGGTCTCCTGAGCCACCTGGGATGAGGTGTGCTCCAAGCAGAATACAGAATGCCTGGAGAGGCTCATTGGGGGGGAGACTGCCTTCTCCGAGCCACCCTGGCCCAGTAAAGTAAAGCCTTGAATGTAACCCATCGTCAAACTCTTCCTGTACCAAACAGATGTATAGCTGTGTTTATCACTGTATATATTTTTCAGGTGGCTTTGCTTCAGGTGAGAAGGCGGGCAGACTTGTGCAAGATGCCATTCTAGAGCTTTGTTCAAAGGTATGTCCCTAACTTGGTCCGGTAAGATACTAAATCAGTGACAGACTCCAAGGCCCCTGCTGTGGCTCTTGTACCTGGAAGTTTCCTAGTGTGCTCATCCAGGCGCCATCATTTGGGGGGGGGGGTGTTGGCAAGGTGTTCAGACTTTTTTTGCAGCTCTGAATGTAGTTTATCTATTTGTTTCTTTAACTATTTATATCCCACCTTCTCCAAAACGGGACCCAAAGCAGCTTACAAAAACACATAAACAAACTCAAGCACAGCAAACGAAGCGAAACGAAGCACGTCTTCCTTGGCTGGCTTGATGGAGGTTCCAGGCAGTGAGCCCAGGCGGAGCCCGGTGGCCCTCAGGGGATGCCTCTGGCCACAGCCAAGACGGTCGAGGGGCAGCAGCTCTCAGGAAAGATGTTAGGCAGCAGGGCAAAGACAGTCCTCGACTTAGTTCTTCCCTCCCTTCCTGCCACTCTCCTCCAATGAAAATGGAGCGTTATTCATTATCTCAGCTGGGGCAATTTGAGATGACTGCCAGTCAGATCACCAGAAAGAGCACCTGCAGGAGATTTCAAGGGCAGGATGGATGGGGGGGGATCGGCACTTTGGGGGGCGGGGTCAAGGGCTGTGGGAGAGAATTGCCTTTTCCAGTTCAGATACCAAAGACATCCTGCTGACTGAGCCATCACATATATCTTGCACCTGTTATATATCGGAAAATGTGACACTTTGCCCATGACCTGGAGAGCCCAGGCCAGCCCGATCTTCTCAGAGCTCAGAAGCTAGGCAGCGTCGACTCTGGCAAATACCTGGGTGGGAGACCTCCTTGGAATACCAGCAGTTGGGAGGGCAGGGGCAGGCTTCATTCAGCCACCTCTCTGAATAGCCTCCAGGCCCCCAGGGGTCCCCATGACTTTCAGGTGCATACATACTCACACGCACATATTTTTTGAAATTCCAAAAAAGAAAAGAAAAATGTGACACTTTGTTCTGAGAACGTAGCAGTACGCAAAACGCAATGTTGTTCTTGAACAGTTTCTTGCATGTAGCAAAACTGGTGCATGATGGAAAGACTGCCCTGAACTGACCTCATTTGTTACGTCCAAAATGCTTTTTATGTAGTTTATTTTTAGACCAGCTTTCAACTAAAAAGTCCCCAAGGCGAGAGATCTAAACCACTTTTCTACATTTTGTCACATTCAAGCTTGATTAGAGGTATAAAGTTTCCAGAAATTTAGACGGGGGGAAAGTTTTTAAATTAAAATTTGTGAGAAAATTGGAATATATAATCTAGCATACCATCCATATGTCTAATTCTCAACTTGGCGCCATCTGTTGGAAGTTAAACCTCGAGACTGGAGCCATGCAAGGACAATATGGATCTGTTTACAAACCTGCAAGAAGCCACAGGTTCGCCGAAAAAGCTGAAATCTGTTTAAAAAATGCATTGGAGGATTAAAAAAGCCCTCAAACCAACAGGACCCGTAGGCTTAAGAGACGGATGCCCTTTGCAGTGGTCTCTGTAGGGTTTGCTGGGCCCCCACAGCCACGTTGCCAGTTTTCCAGCCCTGGTTTCTGTCAGTGAGAGGCGGGGCGGGAGGGGGCAGGGCTCTTTCCAGGACAGCCACGGGAGGGCGCGAGCCCATAACTTTCCTAGGACTGGCTGCTTACTGTGCTTCAGCAGCAGCCACCCCACAGAAGCCAGAGGGGTGTCGTGCTTAGAGTTTCAGACCCAGGTTCAAATAACCACATTGCCAAGGAACCTCACTGGGTGACCTTATACTGGTTGTACGTTCTCAGCCTAACCTACCTCACAGGGTTGTTATGAGGATAAAACAGAGGAGAGGAGAATGATGTAAGTTGCTTTGGGTCCCCACTGGGGAGAAAGCTGAATAAATGCAGTAAATAAATCATAGAGTAATAGAGTTGGGACCTCCAGGGTCATCTAGTCCAACCCCCTGCACAATGCAGGAAATTCACAAATACCACACAGAGTGAGCCCTGCTCCATGCCCAGAAGATGGCAAAAAAACTCCAGGATCTCCAGCCAAATAAGCCTGGAGAAAAATTAATAAATGTAACTGAAGATATGGGGGCAAATAAAAGATAAGGTAACTGGTGGGAAGTAAGGAGAGGAGGGAGTGGGGAGTGGGGAGGATATGGGGGTAGACAGGAGGAGGGAAAGAGGAAATGGAGGGTACAGGGGAAAGTGAGGTACCCACTTACAAGTCTTACCAGTTCTCCATTGTGCAATTATCTTTTTGGCATATTTATGGAATTCAGAATGCTTTGGTTTTATACAAGCAAAACTGTGAATATGCTCAGAACTACAGTGAGCTGCAAAGTGCTGCACCTTATACTAGCTTAGAACACATATCTAAATTTTTGGCATATGAGATACAGGAAAAAAGAGGTTGAAACAGAAAACAGAAGTTTTATATCAAACAAAAGGATCATTTGGACACATTGACTATGGGACTAACAGTATATTTGGATAATGTGTTAATATTGAAAATGCTGTGCTGAATTATAATACACACTGTACAACAGTGTGAGCAAAATTATTCGTCTTTAAACATATCCTTGAAAATATGTTGAATATATATAGAAAATACACAGGAATTATCATTCTCTTATTACAGATGGTCTTACATTAAAATTTTCAAACCACATTTTTCATAAAACTGTCTTCAAAAGCATTTCAGTCATTCCAAATGAAAAAATATTTCATAGTAATTTCATAAAAATACTTTTTTTCACCGCTCCGTAGATTGCCTTTTTTTTGCACTAGAAAAATGGGGGGGGGGAGGTCTGAGGTGAGATTTTATGCACACACACCCTTTCCCCCCCTTGGGATTTTGCATCTCTAAGCTTGATCAAGAATTTGAAGATAAGATGGGCCAGAAATCCCGGTGGCAGCTGGCTTGACCTCCAACAGCTGGAGGGAGGCCGCCCCCAGCAGCAGGCACATGGAAGGCTGCCGCTCACTCCTGTGAGCAAAAAGCCAAGGGCCGTCTTTGGGGCTCGTTTTGCAGATAGGAACAGGCGCTATCCTCTGCCTTGCCATGGGGTGGTACGTGGGCCCCCCAGACAGTGGAATGAACGGCACACTTTGGGGACATTGTGATAGATGAGTTCATGATGGGCACTTGTTACTGGTTATTATGAAGATTTAAAGTACATGTAATGTTATAGAAGGTGAGAAATGTAAACCATTTGAATAAAATAAGCTGTAGAAACCTGAAAAATTAAGTCATTAATTTAGGTTCTGAAAAAAATAGCAAAAGGTAGACATGATACTGAAGCTTTCTAAGTCCAAAGGCTTCAGCTGCTGCAAGCGAACAGTTTGTCATGATGCCTCTGCCGTTTGTTGGCCACCACAGAAAACTCAAAGCTGTTTCCAATGTGCATATTCTTTGTTTCTGGGCAGCTGAAGGATGAAGCTGTTGCCTTGGTGGATGTTGTTGCTCCTCCTGACTTCATTCTCAACTCCCCCATTGGCAGAGCAGATGGAGAGGTAAGGACAGACGCACACGTGCTCTTGTGCTAAAGCTCTGGTGGGGAAGGTGGGGACCAGATGAAAATTGCATGGAGTAGGCATTTCAGCACATTTGTCACTCCTTTCCCACCTGGATTGGTGGAATCCCCTCCTTTTCCACTGGGTTCCCCTAGAAAGAGGCCGAGGGGCACAGTGAGCCGTTTGGGGGTTAGAAGTGGGTCCTGGGCTGGGAAGGGTTGAAGGTGGCCCCTCTGACAGAAGCTGCTCTGCTTCCTTTGCAGCTGTATAAGAACCTGTGGAGCTCCGTCCTCCAGGGCAGCAAAGTGCTGACGAGACCGTCTTGGTGGCCAGAGTTTTGTGCCAATAAACCTGTTGTGGGTAGACTGAGGTCAAGAATGTGAATTTAACAGTATGCGGGAACAGCCAGGGTGAGGTTGGGATGATGTACCATATTATGAGCAAAAGGAATCATGTTTTTTAAATGCTGCAAATGATGGGATTTATTGTGAAGGAAGTGCTGCATGGCACAAAGTTCTGAAACGGCACCCATTGGCCAAGGCCAAGGCCCTGATCACACCAAGACCCACCCGCACAGGCCAGTGCCTGCCCAGTTCTCACTTGTGTGGTTTCTTCAAGACACGCGGGGAACAAGATCCTTCTGAAGCCTGACTCTTAATTCCCTTTCTGGTCAGGAGAGCGAACGTCTGACATTGAATGTCTGTTTTCTGAACAGTAACCCAATAGGAAACTCAAGGTGGGAAAATAATTGTAGCAAGTAGAAGGAAAATTATGTCCATGCAAAGCTAACCTGGATTCTCTGTTGCTATTAATTTAAATCCTTCTGTCAGAGTCACTGCAGTGTCCTGTTATGGTTACTGAGCAGAAATGTTTATGTCATCTCAGGATTTGGCACGCAGAGTTCATATAAGATGAGAAGTTTCAGATTTTGATTGTCATGTTTATGCCTCTCTAAGGCAACTGATTCTGTATTCTTTCATTTAAAGTATATTTAATTGATGGCAGTGAAAATGTTGAATTCTACACAACCTCCCCAGTGTTCTGCATTGTATCTGTATTTTTAGTTTAAGTGAAAGCAGATGTCTTAACCAGATGCCTCAAGCAGCTGTTTTCAGAATGTCAGAGTTTCATTTCTGTTAAATGAAATAATGTTGTAATATGATACGTTATAAAATAAAATTCTTCCACCTGCTAGATATGTTTGGCTCACAGAGTTTATATATTTTGTCTCATCGTTAGAAATGGTGGAATCAATATTAACACCGTTAAACAAAAAGGTTGGTTTCAAATATTCATGGATGGTGCAATCTTTTGGTTTCCTGTGCAGTCCAGAAAAGGGGCACTGCACGGGGGGAGGGGTGACCCCTCTGCCCCGGCGCCTCTGCCGCTCTGGGCTGTGGCCAGCCCACCTGCCCTGTGAAACTCAAGAAGGCGGCCCTCCAAGCACGCAGACCCGGATGGAGGATGAGTCTGGAGGGTATTTATGGGACGAAAGGAGGCGGCCTGGGCAGGACCGAGCACCGTCCCGCCCGCTTGGCCACCCGGAGGAAGCCGTGTGCCACGACACAAGCGAGAACCCACTCAGCTGCATACAGTCAGCTCTGTCGCTCTCCACCCTTCAAGCCAAGCAAGGTGCTTCTAGGCACAATATAATGTTTATACTCAGACATCCCTAACAGAAAGTTATGCTGCCTTTAGCTGAAGGAGATGATTCTAAGGGCCAAACTAGACTAGGGCTGGTGTTTGTTAAGAACTGGGTCCAGACCCAGCCAGGTTGAAGGGTCCAGACCCGTGTGACAGCTGCAGGGGGTGACCGTTAAAGAACAAAGGGAAGCCTGTTTGGGCTCGGAGCGCTACCGGGAGGGGAGGGGAGGGGAGGAGGGCTCCTGCCTGGTCTGTCCCTTTTCGCAGACCAGAACAGTGCTGGGAGGGGGGAGTTCTTCCCCTGTTTTTGCTGCTCCACATTCTCTGCATGCCAGGCAACAAAAACAGGGTAATAACCCCCATCCCCCGGCCCTACTTTGGTACAGGAAAATGGCTGGGGGGGCCATTCCTCCCCACAGGGGGGGCAGTCCGGGCCCAAATGGGGCCTCCGTTGTTTTTTAGCAGCCCTTCAGTGCAGCCGCGGTGTGGCTGTGGGGAAGCAGAGTCAGGCCTGGGGAAACTGTGCCCAACTCGCTAAAAAGTTGCCATGTTGTCTGGCCTGGTACAGATGCACGCGGCACTCTGTGGGGTCAGTACCGTTTGAGGACTGGGACGGTAGGACCAGTATTTGTGGGCTTATTTGTGGTGTGGTTTTCTCATGTCCTTGAATATGTCATGTGCGTGTGCTTTGATTCCTCTCAATAAAGTTTCTCTGATTATTCTGCTAAATCCCTGCCTCCATCTTCTTTCCCACCTTGTACCAGAGCCCCGTCTCTTAGTCAAAGAGATCCCGAAGAACAGGGATGGCCTCAGTCCCTGTCTGGTTACTTTTCCTCCCTTGCCAGGGGCTACAGCTGAAGTCAGCAACTCCTGCTGGGCTGGAGACGACTGCAGGGGTTGACAACTTGACTGGAGATTTCAAGAGAACTTGGGGAGGGTGGAGTTTGGAGAGGGAAGTGAGCCGCGATGTGATGTCACATCCTGATCAAAAGCCAGGTCCTCCAATTCCTCCCCTTGCTGGAAGTAACTTCTTCCTCTCAACCAAGTTCATGTTTTTGAAGTTTCCTACCTCATATTGCTCCCCAGCCCGCCGGCCCCCTGCGCGTCACTCGGGGGCTTTGGTTCACATGTGTTCTGTAGATCATATTAACCCATCGATCCTAAATGTTTGTGCTGGTATGACCAGCTGTCAACACCAACGTTATTGAAGTTTCTGCTTACAGCATATTTTAGTTTGGGGTGTAAATAAATCACAGACAACAATTTAATTATACCACTGTCATTTTCATTACTCTATACTGGGCATCTGAACCTTTTCCTTTTCAGAATGGCATGAGGAAGGGCGTAACCCTCCTAGACGGGCCCAGTGTGTGCAACACCACATCTCCGGAGTCCATGACGATGCCAGTGGTACGGCCAGAGGCATACGGGGACATGTGCAGCCACTCAGCCCAGTCCCCCTGGTTTCAGTGGGACTTTCTCCTTTATCTGAGCTTAATAATGCTGGGACAGGACAATGAATGCAGAACTGTTGTTTGATTAAGAGTTGCAGCCCTGTTAATATTTTTTAAAAGAAGGACAAAGCAATAATCTGTAAGATGCCGCAGTGGTCTCAGAGAACTGGAATGGATATGGGGCTCCTAGCAAGGGGAGTCATCTCATAGCACTTGGGAAATCCCCCTTGATTAATCATGTTTGGTGTCAGAATTGTTCATTTGGTGTGTGTTTTTTTAACTCACCTGCATCTTATCTGATGCAGCAGCAGTTTCATCCATGTACATTCCACATTCCACTCCACCTAAAAACCTTTTAAAGTATTCTCAGTGTTAAGAAAAATCCACTCTAAAGAATCAGAAGGCTGCTAGCCAGCAGCAATCCCATCCCTTTCTCTGTCCTGAACTGACCTCTGGCATTTAGTGTCTTGACAAGCAACAATCGGCATCAAATTTAATTTATATGTATGTGGGAAAGTGCCAGGGAACTCCAACATGGTCATATTTGACTTAAAAACAGGAAACCTCTAAGATGAGAAATCTAGTAAGGAACAGTCAAGAGGGTCAGATCTCTTGAACAGGCTTGGAGGTTGCTCAAAACCTCAACCCTAGAGGCTTCTGAGCCTGAGAATGGATGCCACAGGCCAGGAAAGGCAGTACAAAGTCACCAGCATGGCTAATGAGTAGGGTGAGGGAAGCTATTAGAGTGAAAAGGGCTTCCTTCAGAAACAGGAAGGCTGACCCCAAAGGAGGCTTCTTCACCCAAAGAGTGATGAATACATGGAATTCACTGCCACAGGAGGTTGTGGCGGCGGCCACAGGCATGGAGGGCTTCAAGAGGGAATTAGATATGGAGCAGAGGTCCATTAGTGGCTATTAGCCACAAGGTATGGATAAGAACTCTCAGGCTGGGGCTAAGAAGACAGGCGGGACTTCCTGTCCTAGCCCCTCTACTGCTGGAGCTGCTGCCAGTCAACCAGACACGGATCTTGCACGCCATCTGCTGGCAGAACTGCAAAAGATAAATAGAAAACTTGACTCAATGGAGGATGCTTTTGGGTTACAGCAGAAGAAAATGACAGAGACGGCTGAGAAGGTGGACGATATTGCAAAGAAGTGCCTAGCATCAGCAGAAGAAGTACAGAAAGTGAAGAAGAACGTCTCAAAAGTAGAAAAACATCAAGAAAGGCAAGACAACAAAGTGTTAATGCTTCAAATGGAAAAATCCAACTTAATTCTCCGTTTCCAGGGACTGATAAAGGAAGAGGGAGAGGACCTTAGAGACATTTTGGCAAGTGCACTGGCACCACTGATTAGCAACAAAGCGGAAAAAATAAAAGAAGAGATGGATTTGGTCTATCGGGCCTATTCCAACTTTACAAGGAAAAATAAGTTGCCAGCAGAAGTGGTGGTGAAATTTTCAAAACAACGTCTCAGGGACCAGATTTTAAAGTCCACATCAGCATCACCCTTGAAAATTGGAGATCAACAGATCAAGATCTTGAAAGATGTTTCATCTGAAATTAGAATGAAGAGAAAGGAATACAAAGGATTGACCATCTTCCTCCAAAAACATCAAACGACCTATAAATGGTTGGTGCCCGAAGGACTGGTTTTCAGGTTTAAGGATAAAAGAGAAAGAATTGACTCCATCTTCAAAGCTCAAGACTTTCTGAAAAAGCATGCCGGTAAAGAAGAAAGTGCAGAACTGGCCAAATGGATGTCGACATTAAGCGTAGAAGACAGCAGCTCAGAGGGAGAGGTGAAAGACGAGGAAGGAGGAGCCACGAG